GAAAGAACACTGACACTCACAGGTTTCTTGGTTCAAAGAAGGAAAACCTTCAAGGAGCTGACTGAACATGTAGCATGGGGATGAGAGGTGTGGGGTGGGGTCGAGCCCTGGGGCCGGGTCAGGGGTGGGGGGAGGGCCCCTGCAGCTTCTCCTCCCTGATGTAGCCCCGGAGACCACCCCCCTCAGTTGGCTCTGTCTACCCCACTTTTCATTTTGTTCAAATCTAGTTGCAGATCCTGACAGAATTGAAACTGCCTCAAACCCACATCTCGGCATCGCACTGTTAGCATCTAACTTCTTGTCATGATTCAGGGAAGGTACAATCGGCCAAGGGTTTTCTTTCTTCTTCTTCTTCTTCTTTTTTTGTCTTTTGAAACAAGCCAACCACCTATCTGATCATTAAACGGTCACTTAACGACAATTCGGTGCACACAGACTGACATGAAACCTGGGTGCTAAACTAAAAGAAAAGGAAGTCCAGTTTGTGTCTCTTAATAGCTCTCTCAACTCATTCCTTCGAGGTAAAGTATTTCATACCCCGCTCGGGAAGGGACATGTTCGTTCTCGGCTCCCTGAAAAGGGCAGGAGGACCTGGCCTTTCATAAGCTATTCTGTTTCGTGTCAGGAAGCTCTTAGAAGTCAAACTTCCAGAGCATCGCTGCTCTCATAGTTTAAAGAAAGAGAGAAGGAAGGAAGAAAGGAGAAAGGCATGCGCCTCCTTAGTCTTTTTCCTGTTGAATGACCAGGGTTGCCTGTGAGGCATCGCGCTGGGCAGAAATGGGAGTGAGAGAGCAGGAAGCTTGGAGTCGGAAGCTTCTACAACCCGGGGCATTATTAAGTTAACATGTCTGTCTTTGTTCGATTGGAGACGAGTAGGACAGAGCAGGTTGTCCCCAATGTGTAAAATACTGGGCGGCTCTCTCGTTCCCTTCGTGGAGAATGGCCCTCTTGGCTTCGAAGGCCCTCTGGTCTGGACAAAAACCCTCGGTAGAGATAAGTGGGAAAGACAATAGCTGAAAGCGAGGATGCTATAAATAAAACAGCTTCTACCCCCACACGCACCTTTGTATCTTCGAGAACTCTTCTATTTATTAAGGAAAATGTCACATTGTGATGTATTAAGCCAGTACTTCAATTACGGGTTGACTTGGGATGACATGTTACATGCTGTCGTTAACATTTATATATATATATATATATTTTTTTTTTCTTGTTTGAGTATTTCTGTCCCTGAAATAACCTTTCCTTTGGCTTTTCTAGATAGCTTTATTTGATTTTGAGTGGCCAATGTTTTTTTTATTATTATTAACGGCTTTTCTATCGCTGTATGATACAGAACTCTTTCGGCATAAATATTTGTGTTTCCAGTACCTCAGTTGTTTGGATTTTACTGCCTGTATACGTTGTGTGAACTGGTCCTGTTTTTGGGTAGGTGACACGTGGACTCTAGTATGTAAATGTTACTTGAATCTGTGCTCCATTATCGTATGTGGCATGTATGTGCGGACCGTGGATGCTTCACGCCTGCCCAACAGGAGCCCGGCCGGCCCCTTCCCGAGAGGGCGGCTCCCCCGTTCGTGTCCGGAGACAAGGCGGCCACGGACGTGCCCCGGATTCTATTTTGATACCAGAAGATGGAGAGGAGAGGCTTTTTACACTCTGAGGATGGTGCTGTGTCAAGGAGGACCTGTTTCCTTCGCTCCCGCCGTATTTTTTAAGGACCCGGGAGGAGGAGAGAGTGGTGACATGCATGGTGGGAATCTGTGGCCTCTGGTGCTTTGTCCTGTATTTGGTTTAATGTTTTTGTCCTAATCTCTTCAATCAATAAAATTGTGCGTATTTAACTAAAAGTCTGGGGTCTGGCGAAGGTGACTTCCTGCTTCAGAGGTGTGTGGCCGCTGTGCACCAGCTGGAAGCTCGGATGTTCTTGAGGGTCTTCCGTTCACGGTGAACCATCACTACTGCCAGACAAGGACAAGGCTGCCTTCCCTCAGGACGGGGCGTGTGCCGGCCAGTTAGGGGTAACGGCTCGCTGACTTGTCTATCTCCCTGGGTGAATCCTCTCCCCGCCTTCAGAGGTGTGAGTTACGTTCCTATTTCAGATTAGGAGAGGAGCCCGGGAAGACGCAGACTTCCCCCAAGGTAAGCGCCCTGTAAGGATAGGGCCAGGCGCGGACTCCAAAGCCTGTTGAGTCCCAAAGCCTGGTACTGTTTCTGAGTCCTGTTCTCAGGGTGAGTCTAATAAAAGCCCTGGTGGCCCGCCTTCCCCAGGGCCCAGTGATCCAGGCTTCCGCACGATTCAGCATCTACTGGAACCTGATTGGAAGCCTCCATGGAGATCATCCCCCTCCCAGAAACCAGTGTCTGCCCAGGAGCCCTTCTCCGTCAGCCACAGACCATCAGGCAGGCGGTTTCCATGGGCAACTCCATCCATTGTGCTCCTCATTGAACAGGAGTGACTGCAGCCCAGCGAGGGCCAACTCAGTCCTGAGACGTTAAGCAGGTGCCTCCTGTGTCATTTCAGTGCAGGTTGGGGAAACATACGGACACAGACAGGCCGTGGGCGGGCAGGATGGTGAGTGGGACAGGCACTGGGGTTCATGCCAGCCCATAGGCTGGGCTCCCCCCTCTCTAAGTCTGTCGGGTGTGCCGGGAGAGGTGACGCTGCATCCGAGGCCAGAAAGGATGGCGGGGAAGGAAGGAAGAGAAACAGCAGTGCCACCCTCAGCAGAGAGAAACGTGCGGGAAGTGTCCAGAGACTTGCCCAGGTGCATACCATTGGTGCCAAGCCGTGGATGACTTCATTCACACTCCATGCAAAGACCGTGGGTGGTGTACAGGGACATGGCTTTCTAGCCGATTGGACCAGGCCTCTCCATCCACAAAATGCTTGTCGTCGGTGATGTCACTTCTGCATCCCCAGCATCACCAGACCCAGTGCCTGGCACGTGAGAGCTTTCCAGGAACAAGTGCTAATTGAGGGGTCATTTGCTCCGGGGGACTCTGCTGCTCAAGTTCCTTCCAGCCCCCGGTTTCTAAGAGGCACATCATTAAGAAACAGCCTTTGCCAGTTCCGAAGCCCACCAGTGGCTTTTGTTCGGGCACAGATAGGCCGATCCAATTTC